CCCCAAAACCCCAAAACCCCAAAACCCCATACCAGTCAACCAATATTGAAACAAATGAGCAATAGGGACAGGAGTTGGTGTATGGCTTAGATCTCTTGTCTTAAGTCCTTACACTCACACAAAAATATGCCTTTAACTAGATAAATATATCCGAAACTCTTAAGAACAACCTTAGAGTTAAGCTTGACCAATTTAGTACCATTTTGTACATTCGGACATGTTCTCAAAGGTGAATAGGAGTAAAATTTTTATTAACTATGACATCTGGAAAAGTAAACAGACACAAGAACGATTCAATATAACTCTTGGTCTAGAGACCTGATCGGTATCAGGTTTAGGCAAAATTAATGATCCCTCGGCCTGAGAGAGGCTAATTCACCTAAATAACCTTCCCCAGGTTAATATCAGATTTAAGTTGATCCATTTTATGTATATGAAATTAAAGTTAGATTTTGCTTGCTTTCTCTGGGTGATATTTCTTAATATGAACCTATATTAGCAATTTTAGAGGGATCATGTCTTAGACAATCACTGAGAAGCCTCTAGGCCTCACATAATAAGAGGCAACCTGTTTAGAAGCTCTATAAACCATTTTTTGATACTAAAAGATATGCTTCAGCAGATTCTAAAAACCGGTAAAGTTCATAATTTGGAGGAATCAGAATTATGAATAATTTGAGAAATTTCATAATCCAAAATTTTCTGAATTTCTTTACAAAAATGAAGTTGCGTGTAGAGACATGTTTCTTCAGGAAGAAAATTGAGTTGAGGGTTAATAATACATTGAAAAACAATAAATGAAATCGTTTATTCAGTAATAATCCTCCTTCATGAAACATAGGAAATTTAGATATGAACATCATAACGTTCCCGTTTTTCCTGAAGTTGATGCTGCATGAAAAAGAGAGTCTTGCTGATAAATGCTATATCCTTGTTAATTTAGCTATAAAACCATCTAGATTTAAAATTTGATCAACTTTCTGACAAAGGATAGGATATCATTTGGTCTGAAATAATCTACTACCGCTTCGATTTCCTGAAATTTCAGAAATAAAGACTTTTCGTTAACTAACTTATCTTCTGGCAAAATAAGCCTATTTAAATTCCTCCATTTCAGGGTGTCCATCAGCCGCTAAGTTTAGAAGTTGTGCTTACATGGACTAAATAATAACATTTTTGTTTCTTCATAAAAATCTGATAAATAATTAAAAATATGGAAATGGAGTTGACATGTCAAACTTTCCTATTATCATAGGTTTATAGCTGAAAATTATGAGAAAGAAGATCTCTAACCACTGGCTCGCTTAGAGAAATTACCACCTTGCTTAAAATCTTCTCTGGAAAATTTAGGGACAGAATGGAGAACGATTGATAAAGTAAGCATCTTCAGAAATTTTAACTTACCTTCAGGTTATATTTCTCAGTGTAGCGACTAGAGCAATGAGTTCAGACAAATTTCTTTCTGTTCTCTAGCGTTGGCTCCGAGTGCTGCTTCATATGCTTCTTGAGATTTCCCTTCTGTGTGAAACTTCTTGGGCAGTGAGGGCAAGAATATGGCTTAATTCCTAAATGAGTCCTAGCATGGTCAAGAAAGTTCCAAGACCTGGTGAACGTCTTCTCTCAATCTTGAAATTTGCAGACGAAAATAGTGACAACTGTTCCTTTAGAGTCCTCCTTGTCATAAGTAATGTGTTCAAAATCTTTGACGCTGGTTTGCTTGATATCTGAGAAATCTGAAAGAGGACTTGACTTTTTCTCCATTTTCTTATCTGATTCTTTAATATCCTATAAAGCATTAGAGGGCTTAAAATTACCTTAGGAGGTAAATCCTCTAGCGCTCCGCAGTCATTATTTAGAGGTGTGCTTTGAGGTTTCATTGGATGACATGATACGGCTCCACTTCACATTCAGTATTGTCTTTTCAGATTTTCCAAAACGTGAATAGGGTGAACAGGCTATATAAAAATTAAGGCTTGATTTTCGAAACGTTAAGCTGACAGTAACCAAAATTAAATAATCAGTCATGAGTAAAAGACTCCTTCCAAATATAAATTTCAGCACAAATTTCTAAATTCGTACTGTAGTGAAGACTTTTGGGAAGGAAATCTAAGTGGGGGCTTTAGCAGTGGGGGAATTTAGGAAGAGATGGAAGTTTGGATGGGGATAAGGACGGTTATAAGGGTAGGAGAAATTGAGGTAGGAGAGGTGGCTTAGGGATGAGTGGTGAGGGATTTTGAGGGGGATTGTTAAAAGAAGATCTTGGTGAAACAGGTTGAGGGATTTAAAGAGGAATGCAAAAATTGGAGATGACAGGATTTGGTCAGAGCGTTATTTTTATGAAAATTGAAGGTTAGAAGAAGTACTACACTTTAACTCCACTCCCCAAACCCACCAAAATTCATTTCCCAAAAGAGCTTCAGGCCTGAATCCTTCTTTAGCTACTCATTGCCTTAATTGGCACTGAAATAAGACTTTTTGAAGGATTTCAGGCGATTTTTAGGGGATTATAAATAAGAGATTTTGTAAGAAAAAACTTGTTTTTGATGAAAATGTTCAGGAAAGTGCAGTATCCCAAATTCCCAAAAGAAATCCAAAACTCAGTCAAAATCCCAAAATCTCGAACAAAACCACTAATCTTCCCAAAGAATTCTACAAATCCAATCCAAACCAGCCATTTCAGCCTGAAACCACCACTCCAGACTCCAACTGAGCTGACCTATCTAAGCTTTAAAGAGCATTTTTGAGGATTTGCAGCTGGCCCAGAGAGCTTTCAATAGAGTTTTGGGGAAATTAAGGAAAGAGATTTACCTTAGGGATTGAGCTGGAGTATCTTTGTTGAAGAATTTGAGCGTTGAGAGATATTGGGAGACCAACTGGTATCTGAGTTTGGTCTGGTTTTAGGATTCCGAATAAGTTTAACATTATTAATTTATATCTCAACTTCTGACTCTTATATGGGGTTTTGGGGTTTTGGGGTTTTGGGGTTTTGGGG